AAAAAAAAAAAAAAAAAGATGATGCAGCCAGGCACAGTGGCTTACACGTGTAATCGCATCACTTTGGGAGGCCCAGGCAGGTGGATCACTTTAGGCCAGGAGCTTGAGACCAACCTTGCCAACGTGGTGAAACCCCATCTCTACCATAAATACAAAATTTGGCTGAGTGTGGTGGCAGGTTACTGTAATGCAAGCTACTTGGGAGGCTGAGGCTGGAGAATAGCTTGAACCCGGGAGTGTAGGTTGCAGTGAGCCAAGATTGCTCCACTGAATACTCCAGCCTGGGCAACAGAACGAAACTCCATCTCAAAATGAATGAATAAATAATAAGTAAATAAATAAAATAAAATAAGAGATGATGCCTCCATCACTGGAGGAATGGATAAAATGTATATGCATGCAATGGAATATTATTCACCCATGTAAAGGAATGAAGTGCTGATACCACTTATAACATGAATGGACCCGGAAAACATCATGTTGAGTGAAAGCAGCCAGACACATAAGGTCACATATTTTATGAACTTATGTGACATATGTTTGTCTGGGACAGGAAAATCCATAGAGGCAGAAAATATATCTGTGGTTGCAGGGGGCAGAGGGAGGGGAAATTGGGAATGACTGCACATAGGCATGGGGTTTTTATTTGGTGGGTCTGGAAAATTTCCTAGAGTTAGTGGTGATGGTTTTACAACCCTGTGAATATCTTGAAAAGGTTGAACTGTGTGGGTTGTGAATTATATCTCATAAACATACTTCAAAAAAATATAATGCTTGCATATGCAGGCCCATGGCTAATGATGATGGTGGTTAGTGGTGGTGATGATTGATGATTTGTGTGTGTGTGTATTTTTAGTAGAGACGGTGTTTCACTTTGTTGGCCAGGATGGTCTTGATCTCTTGACCTCATGATCTGCCCTCCTCGGCCACCCAAAGTGCTGGGATTATAGGCATGAGCCACTGTGCCCGGCTGATTGATGATGATTATATTGTTAATGGTAGTGATGATGATGATGGCAATGGTGATGATAGTGATGATGGTGGTGGTGATGGTGGTGAGGTAATGATGGTCATGGTAATATTGGTGGTGATGGGGTGATGATGGTGGTGATGGTTATGGTGGTGATGGTGATGATGATGGTGGTGATGGTGGTAATGGTGATGATAGTGATGGTGGTGATGGTAGTAGTGGTAATGGTGATGATGATGATGATGGTGATGATGATGGTGGTGATGATGGTGGTGGTGATGATGGTGGTGATGATGATGGTGGTGGTGATGGTGGTGAGGATGGTGAGGATGGTGATGATGATGGTGAGGATGGTGATGATGGTGATGATGATGGTGAGGATGGTGATGATGGTGATGATGATGGTGA